GAGATAGGATTTTCAATCCTCCTTGAAACGCTTTCATTTTCCTTGCGCGATAGATAGTTATCAAGGATAATTATTGCAAGGAAAGTAAGCATTCGGTAGCACCTGCAGTCAAATAGCTAAAAGGAAATAGCATTGCATGGGGGTTATAACGTTACATGAAGATCGAGGTTTAACAACACCACAGGCGGTGCTTTAAGTTCCACAAGCAAATAGTTCGATGAAATCAAATTGTTCCGAGGAAAACCAAATAAGAAGGCGAATGGAAACACTCCTGCAAATAACCCGCTATTCTATCACTCGATGTTCTTCTCCCCCTTTTTGTCAACAAGTATCAAAAAGGATAGAGAATGTATGCGAGGAACTACTCATCCAAGTAACATTAGAGATGTCACCAAGAGGGGCTGGGGTAGAGGTATCGCCACCAGGGGGCGGCACAGATTTGGTTCCTCCATATCTTCGAGAGGCATGGTTTGTCGGTGTTCAAAAATGAAATTAAACAAAACATTGGCTCTTCCGGTTAACTTATGTAACTGCCTTCGTATGATGACGAGTAAGAAACTGAATATCCAATACTGTAGTGAATCCAAAAGATCGACATATATGAAAAGACAATGTACTCCCCCTTTAGGAGTGGAGAAGAGATAGACCATGGGAAATGAGAGAGAAAAAACTACTTCTATCTATCACGACAACTATACGTATCATGGCAAAATTACTATCCCTACATCACGCCAAATTAAAGTTGATTTCTCTTGTAAATAGCCCTGAAACTGCCATGGCAATGATAACATGATTTAATTTGACATGGTGCACAAGTTGAGTTGACATGGCAACTTATTTTAAATTTCCAAGGAAACATTTTATGTTTTTTGGCATGGGAAAGAATAATTCAATTTGGCATAACAAGAAATCAAATCTTGAGTTGCCATGGTAACAAATCTAAATTTGAGTTTCGATTGCAAAAACATACGAGTTGCCAATTGCCATGAAGTACACATTTGGGGGTGCCATGATCTATAGTCTCAAAAATTGCCATGGAAATTTGGTCAATTAGCATCACATCTAGTACTACAAAAGATTCTTCACAATAAATCTACCCTAATCTACCCTATCTATCTACGGACGCGAACTTTTGGGACATGGTGGCACGCGATGCCGAAATCTCGCGCGTCCGCATATGCATCACGATTGCTACTTAATATAGGCCACTGCAAAATAAGGGGGGGGGGGGTAATTCTCAGGCCAGAGTAAATACGTGACGTTATACCTGACATGCATGGGCCAGGTCTCGTTTAATTCTCGTATGGATACTAGCTGTCTGGTAGCAACGCCCCTTGCAGGTGTTGGGTCAATCTTTAATTCTCTTATCTGTTAGAACTGCACTGTAGCTCTTCTGTGAGTCGCGTCCCTGTGGAGAGCGGAAGAACAAGAGGAGATGGCCCCAGCAGAAACGTTGATACACATGTTATAGCATATCACACTGGTTCTGTGTTTTACTTTCTTGGGTATACGCGCGCGCTGACATATAACCAACATGTTGGTCTACTTGCATTGCAGACTTCTTTTGTGGCACTTGTGATTAGGTGGCCAAACCTATGTATTAATGTGCTACTCATCAATAGGCAGATGAATCAACGGAATGCTGATACAAGAAGCTTTATTCATAGCGACTGATTCATGACGAACTGGATGGTTTAGTGTATAGAGTAAGACTCATATGCTAATTAGCCCTAAATATTACAGAGCTAATAACTGGCACAATGATTAAACACACTTGTATGATGATTAGTCCTAATTTACCAATTAATATATTACTACTACATATATTAATATAATGTTAATACATAGAACAACGACTAAGCACACAAATTTAGCTGTAACCATGACAAACTTGCTCCCATATATTTAGATAATTAAATGCAGCTCGCAGATACTTTCATATCGTAACTTCAATTAGAATTATATGTGGAGTTGATTTTGATGTCTCTAATTTTTTTTAAATGGGGATTGTAATTTTTGGTTAACATGTATGCTTGTGAAGCTGAGATCAAACCCAAAGCCGTAAAAAGAAGCCTCGTTCTCTATAAGCCATGTAAAAATATTTTAACCTTTATGTAGAATTTTGCCTGATCTTCTATTAATAGACGAAATGATTTTTTATTATTAATGTTGCATTTAAAAATTCAAATTCTACTTTTTTCATGATTTGAGTTAACTACGAAGAATGGAGTTAATTGATTTTTTAATAAGAAATTGATAAATGTAAGGATTTCAGTTCTAAACCAATACTTGAAACAAGTGACGAAACTAAAATACTCCAGTTTCTAAATTGAACAATGCGAGGTGGAGAGAGCTAGTGTGATTATGGACAGGGTGCATGCTTCCAATGTAGTTAACACTTCACGACCTGCTCCTAATAAATGGATACAGGTTGAGGTGTGCAATATTGTTCATCTTCAACCTGGCGCTGAGAGGAAAAAGCTGGCCATGGCATCAAGCTCTAGCAACGACGGAAGGTTAGATGTTCGTTATCTTTTCTACGTTAGTTGGGATCCTAATACAGAACATGAGCTTGCAATGTCCACCACCAACCACCAGAGAGAGAGAAAGAGATGGACTCCAGTATAGCTACAATTCCACAACTCCATTGTTGGGAAGAGGAACTCTTAGATCTCCCTGAGCATGGACTAGAGAAGCTAGCTGAGTGAGGGACGAGCTGCGGCATGGATACAATGAATGGGGAGAAAATGCATGGGGTGGTGCACGCTGCCGTTGAATGTACAAATAAATGAGAGATTAACTTCTCTAATCAATAGCATGGATCAGTGTAGTTATTGTGCAGTAGGGCTTACTCACTTATTGGCTGTGGAATACTAGGCCTATACTACACTGGAGCGGTGCTGAGAAATAGATGTACGGGCTGGTTGTACAAATACTACACGAATCACATGCGCATGGACGGAGGTGATTCCATCCTCGCGTAGAACCATGTCCATTCGTAATTATTCGATCTATCTACCCTATATATATAATCGCCATAAAAATAATAATAAAGTAAATAGTGCTTCTGGTCGTCCGTCCAAATAATTGCCTCCGAATTAGCTATAAATTACCCGCTATCCCACTCGGTAAGTTAAGAAAACGATTTGGTTTTTATTTCCAAAGGCGCCGCCGTGAACTGTGCTTTTAGACTAGCGATGCCGTGTCTATAACGCAAGCGTACTACCAGCCTGGGGCCACCAGGCTGTTGCTTCTACCGTGTAGGCCTGGGTTCGAATCCTGGTAATACCATTTTTTGCCTCCTTTTTCTTAGGCACCTCCTCCATGGGACCGGCCTACCGGGTGTGACGCTCCTTTTTTTTCATTTTGTCTTTTCTTTTCTTTTCTCATTTCTGTTTTAGTTTTTTCTTCTTGAAATTAATTTGACAATTCCAAATTATAAAAGTTTTCAGTTATAACCAAATTTTAGAGAAATAATAGTGAATTAAAAAAACTTTGGGAAATCATAAAATTTTCGCTGTTTCAAAAAAAGTTGGTGATTTTACAAAACTGTCGCAAATTATAAAAAATCACAATCTGGAAAAACATGTCAGGAAGTAAAATCATGTTCATGATTTTCAAAAAAATGATTGTGTATTCAAAACATATTCGTGAATCTGGAAAAAAATGTCCAAGAAAATTTTCAAAAAATCAAATGTCTTTTGCGAAATTTAAAATTCATCCCCCAATTTAAAAAAGTCATCAATTCAAAAAATGTTAGCTGAGTCAAAAAATATTCATGAATTCAAAAACTATCCATGCATTTCAATAAATGTTTCTCTAAAAACAAAACAAATGTTCGTGATTTTTTAAAGATGTCCTAATTTATAAAAGATGTTTGTCGATTCGAAAAACTGTTCGCCGATTCAGAAGTCTTTTATGTCTAGGATTTGATTAGTTTTTGAAAAGTCTTTATATGTCTAGGTATTGAGAGTAGTTCTTGGTCGATGAGATTTGTTTTTAAAGATTTAAATATTTCCTTGCGCGAGACAATGGCAAGTGTGTCGTGCAGTGATAAGCTCATTGCCTAGGGATTTACCACGTGCATTACGATCACGTGGACATTGTGTGGCAACATGGTGAGCCACCATGTTAAAATAGACGACACTCATATGTCTGGATATTAAGTCATACTTATTTGGCTAGCATGTATTTTTTGTGTTTCACTACCGACATCATTAAAAATCTTTGATCTATTTCTTTTTTGTCATAAATTTGATGTCTCATGTTCTTTGCTCTCTTGCATCATTTATCTTAATTATCAATCTGTAAAACTGATGACATATTGGTGCAATTTGCCTGAACTTGAATTATTTTATTTTGGGTCTATAAATTTTATGATGTTTTTGTTGTTCATCCGTTGCAACGCACGTTGCAACGGGCACTTTTGCTAGTAGTAGTACAAAACATGACATGAAACATACTCCCTCCGTTCCAAATTACTCGTCTCAAAAATGAATAAAAATGGATGTATCTACAACTAAAATACATCTAGATACAGTGACAAGTAATTCCATGCAGCCATACAGGCCTGTGTAATGCTACATGTTTTCCTTCCTTTATTCACATATACGTACTGGTTAGTTGGCTGGCGAGTTGGGAGTTAAATAAATCACGCAACAGTTCACTACTACTTCCTCCGTTTCGAATTACTTGTCGCAGGTGTGTTTTAGTTCTAGATATATCCATTTCTGCGACGACTAATTTGGAACGGAGGAAGTACTACCAGGAGTAGTACACATACAGATGACAGCGCCATCGTTTTCACCTGAAACTACTGCTGTAGTAAAACTCTGTCGGTCGGGTCCCAGCGAGCAATACAACAGCAGGTTCTCATCTCACAGATCGATCAATGGGGTTTTATTTTTCCATCCACAAATCGCAATCGCCTCCAATCCAACAACAACAACAACGCATACAGAGGGGCACGATGAAAGGAACAAGATGCCACGGCCCCTCTCTCATTTCTGCAGGTCTATGTCCACCGTCGTCGTGTCGGAGCGGAGCCTCTTGGGCTCCCGCTCGCCCAGGTGCAGCGAGAAGCAGATGTCCTCCGCCGAGCTCTCCAGGTTGCAGTTGTTTTCCAGCTCGCCGTTGCCTCCTTGCTCGTCGCGCATCGGGGACATGCCCATCAGGTTCGGGATGAACTGCCGCTCCTCCACGTTGCTGTTTACCCCATCCACCGTGTCGACGTGGAACTCGTCGGGCCCAAAGGGCTGGTCCGTCGAGTTGGCAGAGCCGTCCCGTGGAAGCTGCTGGATGTTGATCCCCAGGGGCTCGTAGATCTTGTCCACTTTCTCGGCTTCTTGCGGGGTGGTGGCCACGGGCGGCGACGACTCGGTGGCCGTAGAATTGGCCGCCGCCACCGTGATCCTCTGCTCCTCCAGGGCCTCTGTTGTGCCAACCAACAAAGAGAGGAGGAAATCAAGGTGATGCTACAAACAAGGGATGCTGACAACAACATGTCTGTCTAGCTGTTGTGTGTCCAGCAGACAACACTCACTCAGTGTTAGGAAAAGGACAGACCTTGCAGCCCTTCGCTTGTCGTGATCAGATCGAGCTCGAGGAGGTCAAGAAGGCGCCCCAGATCAACACCACTCGTCCAGTTCTCTGGGCCCTGCCCACTTTTCAGCTTCAACCTTCCGCGGTTGGCCGTGCCACCCCATATAATCCCTATAGGCTGTGGCTTCTCACCATCTTGTCCTGTTAAGATTATAAGGCTTCCGCTGTCCCCTTCAAGATCAAACGTTTGCTGGTTCTCCCCGACGACAAGGAAGTCGGTGAAAAAGCATATGCCCTTCTCGTCGTTGTATTCAAGAGCATATGCCATGACGGTCCCTGTCGTATGGCCTGAGCTTCTTCCAACTTTCACAACTTGCTTCCCGATGAGACTGCCAATCGGGGACTGCAGATCGATTGCCTTGATGTCACCGATGAGTCCAACTCCTTTAACTGAGGTGCTGACATTGGTAATGTCAAAGTCGTCCGCAAATGGTATAAATGCACCATCAGCACGGACAAATGTTTCTGCAGATGCACCGCACAGGTAAATGGCATTTCAATTTATGAGAACAAGAGCATTATAAGGAAAAAAATGGCAGCAAAAGCATGAAATGAGCGTGGTGAATGGAGTACAAGATACGCCATGTATGCCAAAAACACGAAATACTCAGAAACATTTCATTTTCTGTTTCACTAGAGTCGGCAGTTGAATAAAAAAAAAGGGCAACCTGGTGCATGTAGCTCCCGCTTGCGCAGGGTCCAGGGAAGGGTCCGACCACTTTGGGTCTATAGTACGCAGCCTTTCCCTACATTTCTGTAAGAGGCTGTTTCCATGGTCACAAGGCAGCAGCTTTACCACTGCGCCAAGGCTCCCCTTGGCAGTTGAATAGTTGAACAAATATATGAAGCAATCTGTGATGACGAAAAATGTTACCTGGGTTCGTTCCCGCATAGATACCATACCAAACATCATCCGTGATAAAAGATGTGGCTCTCTCAACAGCACCGAGGTAAACTCCAGGTCCAAGATTAGGGGGCAACGGATGGAACATCTTCTGATTAGGATAATCCAGGTCAACTGCAACATGTCTGTTCGTTAGGAAGCCTACTTGCTTGTTGCCAGTTCGACTCTTCACGATGGCACCCAAAGTCCCGTATGTTTCAAGACTAGCTACCTGAGAATTAAAACCGAAACAACTAAGTCACAATATCAATTCATGAGAGTATGAGACTGGTATGTATGTCCAGAGTTATTCAGTGTCAATGCATGAAACTGATGTGTGTGTCGAGAGCTGACAGATAAATAATGATTTTGATGTACTAAATGAAAATGAATGGAATAAAAAAACAGAATCTCTGGTCTTTGTGGTGTATGATTTATAGCAAAGCAGGGTTTGGTAAACATATAAGAGTAGGAAAACCATAGTATTGACAGGTTGTTCGGTTGCATCATAGGAAAACATAGGAATGTTTTAAGAAGTTTTGAGTCAATGGAAGTAAAACTAAATAAAATACAGCGTGAATGAATCCCACAGCAAATTCATCCAGACTGCAATCCTACGGATGTGAGGTGTAATAACTAGTTAACTGTGAAGAGGACAGGGCAAACAGGCAACAGTAGCTGTGGAAAAAAAATATGACCTGTGAACCAGAGCCTATAGATGGATCACTACCCCGCAGCCCATCAACAAGCTCGTCATACAATTGTTCCTTTGGAGTCGGTGCTGGTGCACCATAATAAGAGAACTCAACAACATCAACATCACACCACACACCCCCAGGTCCCTGTTCATGGAAGGAACATTCACAGATACAGGTTATGAAAGTTCATACTAGTGTGGACTAAATAAGAAATTGCTAAAAACAAACAACAAAACCAAGTGTACCTCAAGGGCGGCTGGAAGGCACTGCGTAGGCCTGAGCCACTTCTTGTTAACCTTGCGAGCAACAAACACGAGGATGGCAGGCGTGTCGGTCAACGTGCCCTTCCTGATCCGAAAGCCTATGGCCGTGCCAAGGCTGAAGCGGCGCAGGATCTTGCTGTGGAACGCCCTTATAATCATGAGATCGAGCAAGGTGGTGGCCTGCTGGCCTTTGGGCAGGCGGCCAAGGTGTCCCGGCAGCACGCCCTTCTGCAGGTTCCCAAAGTAGTTGGCGCGGCCCTCGGCGGAGCCGTGCATCAGCGTAGACGTGGGCCAAGAGAAGTAGGCGGCGCTGCTTTCGGAGTGCTGACCAGCTGAGGCGACGGGCTGGAGAGGGGACGGGCAGCAGTTATGGCCGTTGCATCCGTTGTTCCTCTCCATGTCCAGCCCTGACCCCTCCGACTGCTGCTGCTGCGACGCATGCGCCTTCCAAATGTCTGAAGGCTGCATTATGCCAGTAGTACCATCTGGGTCTTTTGAGCTCTATAGGTCTTCAACATCAACCTGTAAGCATCGAAGAGCAGAACCTTGTGTTGAAAACAAATTCATTATACGACTCGGCATCAAACTAGACTAGAGAGTGTCCGGTAATATCAGAGACAAAATCATCGTTGTTGTCACTGGTAAACTGATTACAGCCGACCTCACTCACTCACTCACTGCTAAGTGATACGTAGTAGTGAGTATCTGCTAATACCACAAAGAAAACCATCGTTGTTGCCACTAGTTACAGCCGAACTAACTCACTCACTCACTCACTGCTAGTGCTAGTAGTACATTCAGACGGTGATATTGCAGCATCTCTGAGTAACAACAGCTAACTAGAAGCAGCAGCATGGATCAATTCCGCTAAAACTGAGAGAGGCCGTGCACCCGCTGCATACCTCGGGTGGGTAGGGGGCGTGGTCGAGGCAGCGGTGGGGTGGCCGGCGACGGCGACGGCGACGGAGACGGAGACTCCGCGATGCGTGGAGAGCGGCTCAGAGCGGCGGCGCTGCTTGCGGATGCGGAGGCAACGGCGCCATTACCGGCCGCAGGATCTGGATGCGGAGGAGCTAGGGGGGGCTGGGAGGCGGGCGGGCGGGCGGCCGGGGAGGTGGATCTGGCCGGGGAGGGTGCGGGGGAGTGGAGACGCAGACTCACGCTGGGATGTGATGTGTGGCACTTCCGCTGTAATTTCCCACCAAATTCGGATCCATTTGGGCTTTAGCTGCGTAAATTAACCACCTACTCCTTTTTGACCACTCGACTGATCTCTCCCACCGCTGTGAAAAAACGAATTTGCTCCATCTAGAACCGAAATTCCATTACGTGGCCGGTCTCGGCTGATCAGAATCGTCCAGATGCATTTGAATTCGAGTCTCTAGATGTATTCTTTTCCTATTTTGTATCATACATAGGTATCAAAGATAGTCACTCATTAAAAGATGGACGAGGCAACGGACACGTGATGATGCACTAGGGTTTGCGTCAGAGGAGGAGAGAGGACGGGCGGCGGTGCAAAAACCTGTTCGAGGTTGGGATAGAAGTAGTAAAACGACGTGTGAGGGAAAGAGATGTGGACTGGTCGGGTTTTCCTGGGCTTGGCCCATGGTTTTGGCGTCGTCAAAGTGCGGACGATGCACAACGAAGAAGAGCTACACATCGAATGAATGATAAAGGAGCGGAATAAAAAACTCCTTGCGTTTTTTTAGATAGGTGAGCAAGTTTCAGATGATTCGGCGGAGCAGTAGCCCGTCAATGTCATGCTTGAACAACTAATCATATATAACAACCCGGTTAACGTTAGAGCGCCTAGCTTGATTTCTGAAGCAGCGGCCCAATTGACACAACCGGGTTGGCCTAAAAGAAGCGCCGTACGTGTGATCAGACGGCCATCACATATTAAAACACTCATTAGAGGTTGGACGAGGCGACGGACAAGTGATGTCGCACTAGGGGTTGCGATAGAGGAGGATAGGAGCAGGCGGCGGCGCAAACCTGTTTGAGGTTGGGATGGAAGTAGTAAAACGACGTGCGATAGAGAGATGTGGACTCGTCAGATTTTACTGCGCTTGGCCCATGTGTTTAACGTCGTCGAAGTACAAACAATAGACGACGAAGAGGAGCTAAACATTGAACGAATGGGAGAGCACGACGAAAGGAGCGGAATGGATAAAGAAAAAAAGAAATCTTACGTACTTTTTTGTATATGAAAAAAGATCCAAATAATTTGAGGGGGCAATAGCTCATCAACGTCATGCTTAAACAACCAATTATAGATACTAATCCGAATTAACGTGAGGGTTTCTAGCTTTATCTCCGGAGTAGCGGCTAGCTGACACAACTGACATGGCCCAAGCGAAGCAGCAAGATAGCGGAATGATCTTGTACATCCATATGTGTGATCGGGCACCCTCTCACGGTTTAAAACGCTGTCAGAGGAGAATATCGTTTTGGATCTCGGCCTTCATGGAGGCCGGATTTCAAAATTCAAATGTTTTAATTTCAAAATAATCTGAAAAAAATTGTACAAGTAAACTAAGGATGTGATGTGCATGTGTGTAAAATTTGAAAATGAAATACGTTGAAATGTGATCTGTAAAAAAGACAAATTCATGGTCTGAAAAGATGAATAGTATCATGTGTTAAAAAGCCACATATTATTATTTTTTCACAACCTCATTTCTATGTATATCATCTGAAAAATTATACACTTGTGCACTATGCCTCAACCTACATATGTATTTTCTTTCAAAAATTTTGAAATGTAAAAATATGGATTTTCACGAATTTTGAATCTTGCATGTGAAGATCTTTATGGAGCTCGGCCTCCAAAAGCAATTTCTGCTGTTAGAGGGCCTATGTAGTTTAGTTATACTGTTTTGTCATATATATGTAGACTCAAAGCGCTGTCAGAGGCCGTAGGTGGCTCACTTTTTTTTTGTAATGAAATAAAGAATAAATTTGACCCACTTTGGACTTTGGAGTGGAAATCGAATCTGGAATGGAACGTGCGGGGCCACCCTGTCAGTCAGCCGTCCGACCCCAACCAACCAATAAAGCAAAGCCGACGGAGCGCACCGCATCTTCCTCCGACTCGCCGTCCGCCCCGATTCGCGAACCAAACCCTAACCCTACCTCATCGCTCCAATGGCCGGAGACCCGTCGCCGTCGCCGTCGCCGCCCGGATCCCCCGCCAAGCACCGCCGCCGCCGGGAGCGCGACGACGCGGACCCCGCCCCCGACGCCTCCCCGAAGCGCCGCAGGCACCACCACCGCCACCACCACCGCTCCCACCGCCACCGCCGTCCGGACGACGCCCAGCCCCCGCCGCCCTCTGCGGCCGACGGAGAAGACGTCGAGGAGGGGGAGATACTAGACGATGCCGGCGCCGGCGCCGGCGGGGCTATGGAAGTCGATGGCGGCCCCCGCGGGGACGACCCCGCATCTCCGCGAGCCGACCCGGTCTGTCTGCCCCCTTCTCCCTCACCCCCTCTCCCGTCATGCTGTGCTCGCCAATTCAAAGTCTCTGCTAATTATACATGCTGTGTGCCCTCTCTCAGTCTAGGCAACACTATATTAAGCCTCGATTGTTCAGCTGCAACTCTTTGTTAACCCTAGATTCGAAATCCTAGCCAGAGCAGCTAGGCAAATTCCTGAATGAATCACTTGGAACCACCAACCAACAGCTCGAACGAAAAGAATAGTATGTAGTTTTTTTCTTCTTCTGTGCTTTCTCCATCCATGCTGCTTGCTACCCGAGCCGGGAAATCTACTTACCTTTTGACGTGTTTCAAGTGCAGGAGCTAGTCGGTGATCATGCTGGCACCAACTCGGCCGTTGACGTGACGCAGCCTAGTCATTCTCCGCCCTCAAAAGATGAAGGCAGGTTGAATCACACTGCTCGTGGCTCTGAAAGCGTAGGTATCTTTTCAGGTGATGAGGATAATAATGGTAAAGGACATGAACAGAGTCACAGGGTGTCAAAGTCTCCACGGCCGACAAAGGACAGGGGAAGGAACCATGAGGACGAGCGTCAAACTCTGTCCTCTAATAACGATTCTCATCAGAGAGATCACACCACCAAGAGATCTCCTTCCTCCAGGAACCACATTGAAGAGGTTCATTCTAGGAATCACCCAAGGTCCGGAGAAGCTGATGCCAAAGCTAATGGTTCGCGGGCAAGTCCAAGGGCTGACCCTGATCGTGACAACAACGACAGGAATGGTTTTGGTAGGCATGCAACTAGGACACGGGAAGACGACAGAGAAAGGAGCAGCAGTCGTGTTGTTCGTGATGGACATAGTGATAGGCGTGATAGCCGGGAAAGATATATGGATGAAAGAAGGCACAGCAGCATAGATAGAGACAATGTTGATCGTAGGCACAGAGAAAGGAGCAGCAGTCATAGTAGACCTGACAGAAGGGAGAGCGCACACCACACTCGTGAAGAAAGCAGGGAGAGGGAAAGGCGAAGTGGTAGCTCAAGGCATAAAGACCATCATAAAAGGGATACAAGCAAGGATCGTTATAAAGATTATGTCACGGTTGCTACTGGACATGAAAGGGATAAAGTGAGAGATGATAGAGACAGGGGCCGGCACAGGGATAGAGAAAGTGAAACTCGTAGAAGTGGAGCTGGAGAACGCAAGGACAGAATTAGCAGTAGTGATAGACACAAGGACTCTACACGCTCGAAATATAGCACGTCTGATGCTCATAAAGACAGGTCAAGATCTGGGGAGAAAGGTAGAGATGTAGACAGCAGAAGCCATCGATCTAGAGAAGTGAAGGAACATTCTTTCAAGTAAGGCGTTGTTCACACGATCTGCTATCTTATTTGTTTTGTTGCTTTTATTTTCTGGCACCCCATACTTCTGTCCTTGTGGTATTAGGGAGGAAGATGAAGAAGAGTATCAAGAGAAAATTGAGCAACAGTTAGCAATGCAGGAAGAAGATGACCCTGAAAAAATTAAGGAGGAAGCGAGGAGAAGGAAAGAAGCTATTATGGCGAAATATAGGCAGCAACAAGCACAGAAGCAGCAACCGGAATCTTTACCTAGAAGCAATGATGAAGGTAACTTGATTAGCTAAATTTGACCTATTCATGGGCTAACGAATGTACGTGTACTAGTTTATGTCCCATTGAACGAACTTTGTTGTGATAAATGTCTGTTTATTGTACAGAAGCAAGAGCAGTGGATAAAGATGAGACTGTAGATATGAAAGGTGATAATGATAGCAATTCTACGGACAACGAGGAAGCTGAAAATAAGCAGGACTCTTCAGATGCATTTGTTGGTGAGGCAGACTTCAATGTGGGTAAGTCCCCTGCTCATGATGCTGTTTTAGCCTGTGCTGAAGCATTGGGCAATGAGGGGACAACAGGTGTTTCAGGCCTTGGAGAGGGTACTCCAAAGGTAATTTTGTTCTCTTACCCTGCTACACAGTTTATTAAGCAGAAAATTTATGTTGGTCCTGTTAATTTTCAGAGTGAGAGATCGGCAGATATGTTTTGTGATGACATCTTTGGAGAGTCACCTGCAGGATTTCGGAAATTGGTATGGCTCTTATCAGTTTTCTTTAGACATGTCAATACAGAAGTTAAAAAGATATATCTCCTGCTGCTCTGATTGTCTATGACACCTTGTTCTGTTTGAACTTTGAAGATGAAATTTATTTTCCCAGCGTCATATTAAAATACCCTTTTACTGTTTACTCAGTTCGAGATCATTTGGTTGTGCAGGGCAAGGGAGACGGCTTGTGTATTGAGAAAAATGCTCTGCATGATAATTGGGATGATCCTGAGGGTTACTATAGTAAGTTCTGCTCTATATTATGCTCAAGTCTACCTATTTCTTGTTGTTTTGTTAAATATGGCCGCACACTTTTCTTGTACCTTACCTTTGCTACTCTCTACAGCTCATCGATTTGGGGAATTGTTGGATGGCCGTTATGAAATTACAGCCGCGCATGGGAAGGGGGTGTTCTCAACAGTCGTGCGGGCAAAGGATCTTAAAGCTGGGAAAGATGATCCTGAAGTAGTTGCTATTAAAATTATTCGCAAGAACGAGACAATGTGAGTATCCTATAGAAGCATTTTAATAGCCAATGCCTGTAATACGCAGAATAAAACATGAACTTTTAATTTGATTCTTGTGCGATGATTTAATTCAGTATTTGTTTCTACAGGTATAAGGCTGGTAAGCAAGAGGTTTCAATATTAGAAAAATTGGCAAGCGCGGATCGTGAGGACAGGCGCCACTGCGTGCGGTTCATTTCTAGTTTCATGTACCGGAACCATCTTTGCTTAGTTTTTGAATCTTTAAATATGAATCTCCGTGAGGTACTAAAGAAATTTGGTCGCAATATTGGGCTTAAACTGACTGCTGTGAGGGCATATTCAAAGCAGCTTTTCATCGCTCTGAAGCACCTGAAAAACTGCAAAGTTCTGCACTGTGATATAAAGCCAGACAATATGCTGGTATGGCATCTTGCCCTGCATATCTTTCACTCTACTGTATTATGTTTTGTAATCTCTTGTCAAATTTGATCGTATGAAACATCCTGTAGAGCTTTAGCTACTAGTTGCTTAGAAAGTCACACACAACTGGGTTGGCATTATGATGATTTTAATTGTACCCCTTTGATATTGTAGGTGAATGATGCTAAGAATGTCCTGAAGCTATGCGATTTTGGCAATGCTATGCTTGCTGGAATGAATGAGGTCACGCCTTATCTTGTCAGCCGTTTCTATCGGGCACCTGAGATCAGTGAGTTCTTTTTTCTTGTACCTTTTTTTGCTATTTTATTTTATAATGTTTCTGCTCGCAGGTTGTCTGCATACGCATACTTCTATTCAAAATGTATTTACCTCTAATGAATTATTTCTATTACAGTTCTTGGGTTGCCCTATGATCACCCATTGGACATCTGGTCAGTCGGCTGCTGCCTATATGAACTTTCTACTGGAAAGGTCCTGTTTCCAGGTGCAACTAATAATGATATGCTTCGTCTTCATATGGAACTGAAGGGCCCCTTCCCTAAGAAGATGCTCCGAAAGGTTAGAAAATCATCATGAACTTTACATACTTGCTCGTTTTCATGCTTGATTCTTGTATTAACTTCACAGTTGGAAGACTACATACTCATGTAATCCTGATGAACTCTGGTTGAATATACAAGTATTTTTCTAAGTAATGCTCCCAATTTTGTAGGGTGCTTTCACGATGCAACACTTTGACCAAGATCTCAATTTTAACGCTATTGAGGAAGATCCTGTGACCAAAAAGGTTCGTATGCAATACTCTTTAATTTGTAATTTGTAATGTATGTTATATAAATGTTTCAAACCACTAATTTATTCTATTTTTGTCAGCAGCCTATGAGGAAGTTGATTCTTAACATCAAACTGAAGGATTTTGGTTCTTTGGTTTCAAATTTTCCTGGCGAGGACCCAAAAATGCTCTCCAATTTTAAAGACCTTCTTGAAAAAATATTTGTCTTAGATCCAGATAAGAGGATAACCGTATCACAGGCACTTAGCCATCCATTTATCACTGGCAAGTGAAAATAAGATGTTGATTCCTCTTGACATTGTAAACTACAATTTGGGTTCCTCTTGTCTAATCATCGGCATTTCTATCTTGTGTCTGGGAGCTATGAGATCTGAGTGCGTGCCAAATGGACGAAGCATGGGGTTGCTGAAGAGATGCTGTCTTACGGACCTTGCTGCATGCACTTACCATTTGGATAGTTCTGTTGCTTGTAAGACAACTGGCCGGCTGGCATTACATTCTGTGTATACATTTTCCCAATGATTTACAAGATATACATGAAACTGTGCCTAACTTCATTTAACAATTGTACTGGCTTGTATGTTCGACCATCGAGGTTCTATGTATTTCTAGTAACTGGAGTGACAAATCTTTGCATGTGCTTGTAATGTGGGTGTAGCAGGCACACTTCTCATTTGTGCTGCCAAGCACTCTGCTGATGTTTAAGCTCGCCTGTTTTGCAATGCTTGGCCTCAGGCATTTACTTACTGTGCAGTGATCAATGCACTGGTCGTTTCTCACTGCTTGACAAGCTCTTTTGATATTTTATTTGATACAAAAACAGGCCTTCCTTGTTACTAATTTATTTATGCAATTTATATTTGGGTTAAAGATTCTAATTCTTTTTTTCGTTCAGGGTTTCTGCCAGGGCCTCTGCTGCATGCACTTATATATCCTAAAGGACCAACAGAAGAAGGTACCCTGGTTGTTATCTGGGTAACTTGTGTGTTTGAACACCATATAACATTATTTCCCCCCTATTGAAATCTGATGATTCTGCGATTAATTTTGCTAGACGAGTCATGTGTAGATGTAGTGATACTGAAGGTGCCCTGGTTGATATCTGGGTAACTTGTGTTTGAACACCATAGAACATCATTTCTTTTTCTCTTTTGAAATCTGATGATTCTGTCATTAATTTTGCTAGATGAGTCATGTGTAGGCGTAATGATACTGAAGGTGCCCTGGTTGACATCTGGGTAACTTGTGTGGTTGAACACCTATAACATCATTTCTTTTTTCTCTTTTGAAATATGATGATTCTGCAATAAATTTTGCTAAATGAGTCATGTCTAGACGCAGCGATACTGAATTTTGTCAATATTGGATATTCACATGTTCTTATGTTGGTCATCTGGTTTCTTCCTTAATACCCGTCCTTTCTGAATTTAGCATTTCTTTGCTATTTGGGATGGCTATGGTACGGCAAATGAAATGCCAAGAACTCTAAACTCTTTCATCCCTACATTTTGCCATGCCACCTTTCTCCACCTGTAGGATGATTAGTGAATGGGGCAATAGGTGCGTGTGAAGTGATCAAAATACAAACAAATGTAGCTTGTCATTTCCTTTTCTGTGGGATCGTTGAAGTTATGGATCTTTTTGAGAATTTGATGTAGACTGAAAGTCCACACTGCTATCTACTTCTGATATTCTGTGCGAATGGGCTTGTGATGTTCATCTTTCCTCTATTAGTTGTGCTTGCTTTACGAAAAGGGTTCTAAGAAAGTCTTTTCTTGTTATGCACCACTATCACTCCATGTGGAATATCAGTCAAAAGTTTTTATTGTTTTTATGTTTGTTGAGGTCCAGGGATGGAGATTCCTGGATGCACTGGGTATTACTACACCTTGTCTTGGTAACCTCTTTCAACTAGCTGGATGTGTCAATGTTTCAGTTCGTCATTAAGAGTCTTTTTCATACAAATGTTTTCTGTATATAGGTCTAGATGTTATTTTGATCCCTTACAGTTTAACGAACTTGGAATTCATTGTAAGCCATGCTTCTATGTAGATCCACAACAGTTTTTTGTTAAAAAGATCGCAAGTTTTTGTGGAGAAACTAAAATGTTATTTTGTATTACAACTCCTGTAGCATTTGGCACTATCCTGCAGTGAGAAATCTAAGTCGTATGTAGCAAATAATCTGCATGTGTCCAAAAACTTAGCACAAGTATATATATGCATGTAGCATGGTAGAAGTAGGACCGAATGCTAGTTTATTAACTGAGGCAAAGCATCATCACTTGTCAGTTGCTTCCTCCATCAAAGTTTTAAGGCCACTTAGTCTGGTTAAGTCAAAACTGTTCTAAATTCGAGCAAGTTTGTAGAAGAAAATATCAACATGTATACAATACCCAATAAATACATTATTACGAAGACCTATTTCATGACTGATCTGGTGTTCTTTTTTGGGTGTGTCTAGGGCACATATAGATGTGCTCTAGTTATTGCACATCTAAGTTAGTGAATCAAGCATAAAGAGAAAAAGAAAAACATAAAGAAAATATTCACACGAATCTCAATGTAACATGTGCTTTAGCAAAACTGTTCTTTTTTCTACAAATTTGGTCAAACGAAGTGGCCTTAATAAGAGGGAGTAAGAGAAGGCAAAGGCAAATGGCTAGCTGTACTTGTCCCATGTCGATAGATTCACGTGGCCTTTTCCTAATTTTATTATCTGAAACTTCATCCTGAAGCTCATGCTTATGCAAGCCATTTTTATTTTTGACCTGATCATATATGCTATATGCATATGTATGCATCATGAAACATTGGCGAGATCTAGAAAATTAAGCACCTTGATGGATACAACCTTTTGTCTTGGATGAGTGCAATTTGCCTGATTTACTTCCACTTGTGTCAGAAAACTTGACCTTGGACTGGATGGTAAGTGCTTAGAAATTACGAGTGTCGTTCTGACTTTGTGTTTCACTTTCCTTCTCTTATTTTTTTGTTCATGTTTTGAGTATCCACCGACATTTTGAACCATCTATATTTTAGTAAAACTATAACATGAATAAATTATATTTATCTGATTATTATACTTTCTCCGTTTTGTAATTCTTGTCGTGGTTTTTAGTTAAAAAATGAACTAAAATCATGACCAAAATTATGGAACGGAGGGAATACTATTTTGCTAACAATAGTGGCTGTGTGTTTCTGGTTAAAAGGTTGTTTGTAAATCTGAAAAAAAAGGTTGTTTGTAAATCTGAAGGAATTGCTTGTAGGCTAGGTTATTGACAAGTTACTCCCTCTTTAAACAAATGTAAGACGTTTTAGGTCACTACTTTATACTCCCTCCATTCCAAAATATAGTGCGCCCGCGTTTCCTGAGGTCAAACTTTGACCATAAATTTAACGAACGAGACCGACTGCGGCGGGAGAAAAAGTTACATAATTAAAAACTTCTTTCGAATACGAATTCACTGATATAACTTTTGCCCCCGCCGCAATCGGTCTTGGTAGTTAAATTTACGGTCAAAGTTAAAGCACGGGGATAGAGGAAGCACCACATTGTGGAATGGAGGGAGTAGTGTTCTAAAATGTGTTACATTTGTTTACAGCGGGAGTACCATATGTAGGATGCTTTTTTTTTAGGAATTTACAATTCATGTGTTATTCCTGTTGTTACTCGAAGGATAGATTGCATTACATAATGTGCTAACAGCTGTAGTGATGCTGATTTGATGGACAAGGACTGTCCGTCCGTCTGTTCGTAGTTTTTGTCCTTTGAACCTTTTTTCAGGGCAAGGTTAGTTGGCTGCATGGGTGACAGAAAGTGAGAGTTCTCAGCAGCATCCTTGGTATCCATCATATATCTACTATTCCAAGTGCAGTGCAGGGGGAGATGAGATTTTGTGATTTTGCTTGGTACGGTGGATGGATGTATGATGGCTAATTTCAGTTGTCTTGGATTAGAATGCGATAAATAATCTGCAATTTCATTGGTCATCATGATTTAATGATGCTAAATTTCCCCAATTTCCCCAACCTTGGGATTTTTATGGGCAGCAAGGACGCAAAATTTTAAAAACCAAGCGGACTGACCATTCATGTGTTTTGATGTTGTCAACTTGTGCACAGGAAGCCATGCTTTTGCTAAATAGTAAGGCAAAAAATTGTATCTTCGTCAAACATGTAATTCAATGAATAATGAGCAAAAACATGATGCTTAAAATAAAACAGAACATGTTAGTAATCGTACTAAACAAATTTCAGTTGTCGGAATACCAATAGTAATTTTTTATAATGAAAATTATAAATGAGAAGAAGCAGTGAAAACAATCAACTAAAATGGAGAAGCCCAAAACGCTGAACGCCTTGTGCACTCATGTGAGATAGATGGACCATTTATATTATTCAAATAAATTGGTTAAATTAATACATAAAATGTATCAATTCGGACATGCTATATGTAATGTAGCAGGTGGAGTTCATTTGAACGATATGCTCAACGTGGTTTCTGAAAGGAATCGAGCTTCTGGAGAATTTGGGTTGGGATGCACATTGGTTGCAAAATATTCTTATATGTAATCAATGTAACTCAGTTACGTCAAAACATAAGTGCTGAGAGGCTTTCCCTTAAAAAAATAAACCTTAACATCCATCTCCGTCCACGATTATCATTCTGACTCACAAACATCTCTTGATCCCAACAGCGAGCAAAGCAACATGTCGACAGCGGTTCAACGCGAGTTTCTTCTCCTAGTAAAAAACCTAGGGTTCTTGCCGCCAAGAGTTTCTCTTTCACAACATCTACCTGGAGCTTTCTCCTTGTTACCTGGGTTGATCAAGGGGTCTCTTGGCACACCTTCCGGACCTTGGTGGTGAGCACAATCTAGGGCTTGGGTTTTCTTGCTCGCTGTTTGATAGACATAGACATGAAGATAGGTGATGCTGGGGGGTCTAGTAGCAAAGCAAGGAGGAAACATGTGGAGGATCTCTTGGAGAGATTAAGGTTGCATGAAAAGGACGATGGAGATTTTGTTTGGGAGGATGAGATCCACGAGGCGGTGATGGCAGCCAAGTTGCTCATGATTGCTAGGGTTCACACAACTCAGGGGTTCAACCCTATGGCCCTGTACTCGGAGGAGGTCCGTTTAGAATCCGGCGGAGGGGGCAACCTAGAGGAGAATTGAGGACAATATTGACAATTCAATTTAACTGATTGGTGACTGGAGTAAGACCATGAATATGGGACCATGGCTGTATAGATACCAAGCTTTGATCATGGAAGAATATGGTGACTGCAAGAATCCTCGTTCGGTACTCTTGAAGAAGTTGTTCGTGTGGCACATGTTCTGAAATTGCGTGACAACACCAGTATGACTATCGAAATCATGAGCATCAACACGAAGGTTCCAAATCCAAGTGGTAGTATCAGGACCCTTAGCTAGTGTTCTTGTGAAATGGACGGGTGTAGGATCGAAAGTATGTCTAGAGGGGGGGTGATTAGACTACTTGACCAAATAAAAATCTAGCCTTTTCCCAATTTTAAGTCTTGGCAGATTTTAGCAACTTATCACAAGTCAAGCAATCAACCTACACATGCAATTCTAAGAGTATAGCAGCGAAATGTAAATCATTTGCATATGAAGGTAAAGGGGAGGAGTTTGAAGGGAGCAAACGCAATGTAGACACGGAGATTTTTGGCGTGGTTCCGATAGGTGGTGCTATCGTACATCCACGTTGATGGAGACTTCAACCCATGAAGGGTAACGGCTACGTGAGTCCACGAAGGGCTCCACCCACGATGGGTCCACGAAGAAGCAACCTTGTCTATCCCACCATGGCCATCGCCCACGAAGGACTTGACTCACTTGGGTAGATCTTCACGAAGTAGGCGATCTCCTTGCCCTTACAAACTCCTTGGTTCAACTCCACAATCTTGACGGAGGCTCCTAAGTGACACCTAACCAATCTAGGAGACACCACTCTCCAAAAGGTAACAGATGGTGTGTTGATGATGAACTCCTTGCTCTT